TAATCCTAAAATGTAGCATCGTGCTACAGATGGCGTTTACTGCGCCATTTGTAGTATTTTCTAAAAAGCTTTAGATTAATTGTAAGATTCTTGTTTATTTTATTACTCATTTTCATCACAAATAATCCATTTAAAAGAATGTTCCATTAAAACCATGCCATTGAAGCAATTCAGGTGTTTAACGAAAAACATGACACTAAAAAGGGTTCCAGCCGTCAAACAGATTAAGAAACGGTCCACTATACAATCTGATTATAAAAGTTTATTCTCATATTTTGGTACGAAGTTTTAACCCATTGGTAATACCAGAATTAGATCACAAACTTATTAATTCCTCCGTAACAAATAATAGTGAACAAACTGGTAATTAAAAACAATTTCTAAATCCGTTACTTTTAATGAGCAAACCTTGTCCTTTAACATTTCATTAGATTCTCCTTAAGCAGACTGCTATAATTATAGGTTTTTGCCGTCATACCTACATTTCTTTTCAATAAGGAACCTATAATTAAATTTCTACCTCATTAACCACATACCTATTTTTCATAGATGGGTTGTATGTGTGTCAACTTTAAGAAAATACGAACCTTCTTAGAATAAATACTATTACTAATTTTCAGATTTTTCAATTTTATATTATTACAGGATTAAAATCAAAGGACTGTTCCCGATCTTTATTATGATGTGCTATTTCAGGAACTAATACCAAAAGAAACATTTACCATAATAAGGTTCCCACTGGTTATAAACTAAATTGTGACACTCGACGAACGTTACATAGGTCAAACAAACAGCTTCGTCAAAGAAAGAATTAAAGAACACATAAGAAGTTTAGGAAATGAAAACACTAACAACTTTAAAACTTCAATAAGTCACCTGAAAGAAACTATCAATATTGAATTTATTAGAATGCCTGGAAATCAACAAATTAGGCTGATTGATGTTAACATGAACATTGTATTTGTCTTCGTCATTATTAATTCCTAAAATACATGTATGATACTAAAGCAAGGTAAAGGTACAGTACATCCACAAAACTGAAATGTAACTTCCGCGAACAACTGAAATGTAACTTCAACAACATTCTGTATTTATATAACTTAATTAAGCTTAATAACGACAGGTTACAACCCTTAATCTTTCTTCCCTGTTGTCACTTATTACTCTGACAAAGAGATGTTATAATTATCTTTTTAACATCCGGTGTACATCTACTACCTCAATTCATCCGAGACGGTGTAATGTCTGATCACTTCCGTTACTTTTATTTTTGTTTGAAACCGTAAGTGACATAATGAGCGGAACGAATGATACAACGAAGTGAGACATTCACTATGTATAATAAAGTGCGTGGGTGTGTGCCCATTCAAGGGCTAATTATGTTTTTCTTGCTTACGCTGATGGGCTTCAAAATCAACAGTAGATCTAATGAAAATATGCACGTATAACGTCACGAATTTTTGGATTTTGCTTTTGCAGATGCTAAACGTTTCATCAAATGCTATTGCTGACAACAGACCAAATGAAAGCCTATGAAAAGCAATAAACATTTCAAAAACGTATAGTTTGGAATGCACTATAATAATAAAAAAGTACTTATAACTGACTTGATAATTATGAGTTGTGCGAAAAATACTGCGAATATAGCAAGATTGAAGCGATTTCACAAAATATTGGTGTCTTGAAAGAAATCTCAAAAAGAACCTATAAAAATTAAAATACCAAAATTTGTTATTCATCTTCTGTACAAATTCAGAATTTTTAATGACCTTTGATGCAGGATTGTTCGAATGACTGTTGTCCAAAACGTTAAAACCCAAGGTGCCATCTCACAATTACTTAAAGACTGGAAAGAAACAGAGACAGTCTCTAAATGAAGTCCTTGAGTGTCAAAACGCATTTTAGATATCAATCTATTGACATAGAAACATATAAAGAGAAAGCATAAAATATCGTTATAGACAGTGACGGCGTAATGATGGGGGGATGTCCGTCCTGGGGGCCAAGCACTAAGGGGTGGCAATAGTGGAAGAAGTTCGTGAAATAGTTCCAAATCTGACAGAAACCCATGATTTTCTGCAGAGGACATTATTTTGGAGATTTTACGACTGAGGTACCACTTGGAAGCCGCCAGCATTTCTCTACAAGAAAAGACCCAATGGATTACTTTGGAGCTTCTGAAATTCATTGGGGGATTACTCTGAGTCTGTTCCTAGTCTAACGCTGTGTTTAAGATTTTTTTAACTATTTGTGTTTCGGTGGCTTCTTGTGAATGAAGTTTCTCAAAATTAAAGTTGATAAAATCTTACTTAAGATTCACAATGAGCCAAACGCGACTTACCAATCTTTCTATATTATCCATTAAGAAAGACAGGAAAGTAAGTTTTGATAATGTAATCGAATATTTTAGCACAATAAAATCACGTAAGCACGTTTAGTATTTGTTCTTTTATTAAGGGGGTGATCAATAGAAAACTGCGCCGCGTGTGGAGTAAAGCTTCTGGTGGTGTTCAGATTTTATCGACTATGTTTTTGCGTTAGGTGCTAGTCAGCAAGCCACTAAGGTCGTAGAAAAATAGATTAAATAGATTTTGTTTACGTTTTGCGTTTGATAACTTACAATATCAAAATTGATACCGGGTCGCTCATCCCGCAGTGGTTTCGTTTCGCTTAGGGTTAAGTTTTTGCTGTTACCACTAGTAATCTAGGGTGCAACTCAGCGGTTTGCTGACACAAAAATGTACCAATAAGATATAGGCAGCACTGTTTGGGCACCACACATCTTCTCCTGAGAGACTTCACCCCTTTCATGCTCTGTCCATATATTCTTACGTATACAACTGAATACAGTACGGGACGCTAATGAAATTAAGGTATCCGTTATCTCACCGTTTTCCCGAAAACATCCTCTGTCCCTGTATTTCTAAGTCTATGAAGAAAACGTACCTAAAATCTATGTAAAATGACATTGTGTCGACTGCAGCAATGAAACATTGAAGAGATATGTTAGCTCCCTTGGTCGAATGACTTGACATCGAAACCCATAACGACGAAGGTCCGAACGTAAGTTAATAACAACGCTAAAGGACAATAATCTTTAATGTGTCTTTAATTTGAACTTTTCTTTTTTCGTCATTAATGAATCAAACATTCACACGGATTCCATTATAGAATGCTTTTTCACACAATCGCTTCTCGTGTATGTACTATACATTTGGTATGTGTTTTTCGAGATGAGATTGAGAGTCGCCCTGAGCAACAATCGCTAATAAGAGGAAGCAGCGGAGCGCGGACTAATTCGTACCGGAAGACGGGGACACTGTTTGGTGACGTTACAGGAAGTTCAGTCTTTGTGTTGAGAAAGGGTGGTAGCACTACTGACTGGCACAAGAGACATAGAGACTATATACACAACAGCATGCATGTGTATATACATATAGTTACTTTAGCGTCGATTGATATATTACAAAGGAGTAGATGGGCGACACAATATTTTTTTCGAAATTTCGATTTGTAACACGAAATTTTGACTTGCAATTTAAAATTTCGATTTGTAATTCGGAATTCGCAAAATTTCGAGTTGAGCATAAGCACAGAAGGAATCAATAATAATTCAGTCGAAATCATAGTTTTGCCCATCAGTTTTGCGACGATTATTGTCTGCGATTCACTTGCCTATGAATTGGGCTAGATTACGTTTGGTTCAACCGTTCAAAAAGTACACGACTACGACAACACTCACTTCGTCCGTGTTGTCTTTATCTACTCTGAAATTATGATTCTAACCTAACTGAACTTAAAGCTTTCATTCGATCGCCTGTAATCATAAGGTTAGAGTAGGTAAAGACAACACGAACGAAATGAGTGTAGTAGTGCTTTTGACCTTTCTGAAAATTGCCTTAACTTAAGTTGGGATTGACTTAGGTTACGTCTGGTTGCAATTTAATGTACATTTGGAATTGCAAGTTGAAAATCTAAATTTCGAGTTGCAAATCCACATTTCATGTTGCCAGTCGAAATTTCATGTCGACAAAAAAATTATGTTAGGTCCTTCCACGCCTTCCTAATGGCGATCATTACTCTATTTGCAGTAATTCATAGTTATGTATACACATTAAGATCCTTGTATTTTACCCCGTGCAGATGAACATGGGTACCAATGTCATTGTCCTAGTAAGTTAGACTCAATTAGTTCACTTCATTATAAATATTGAAATTCAAAGATAGAACAGCTGATTTTTAATTCAAATAAAAGTAGCATTTTCTTCGCCCACTCGTGCAATATACAGATACATGAATTTTCCCGGTAGATGTATGGCTAAATGGTTATTACATACGCTACGAATCCGCCCAAACCGACTTTAATTTTTAGGTATACCTAAGAACATTCTACCAAGTTACATTGTATAGAAGCGATCTTTTTATAGCAATATCTGTATGCCAAGAATTTTAACGTCGAAAAGAATGACTTTTGTGAAGGACGACTCGCGATTTTTTATTATTCACAGGATGCGCGTGATTGAATATGCATTGTCATTTTTTTGTTTTTTTCGTACAGAAAAATTAGCATACATCAGTACGAGCATAAATCCATGAAGAATGTACACAAATTACTTAATTAAAAAATACAGTCTAAGAGTCTAAATTCTCCATAACGAAACATAAAGGTTTGAGCATCTTCCTTCGTTATACATACAGTAGATATATGAAAATCTTGGATACCGGAAGAAAGTGCTCACATGATAGCGAGTTTATCGTTCAAAACGTTTCATTTTTAAAGTCTTAGAGCATATTACAATTTAGGAATATACTATTCATTCTGAAATCCATCTAGGCGTATCAATCAATAATTTTTAAGGAAAATTCCTCTTATGTGAAAGAACTTTTTTTCAGAACATAAGTTTTTCATTATTTTTAATTACAGAATAAGGGGAATGTATTGTGCTTTAAAGGTAAAACGAATATAAAAAAATTGTTTACAGAATAATTAAATTTCTAACCTTAGCCAGTTGCCTTTTGAAAGTAACCCGTCTTTTGGGTTGACACTTTTTTGGTGGATCGGCATCATAAAAGTTTTGATCTTCTAAACTGTAGTCGTACACTTCGTACCCTTCCAGCTCCATCTGAAAAGAAATATTTTCGATTTAAGAATTAGTTATTTCTTAAACTTATTGGCATAATATGTAGATAGAAATTCGTCTTTATATGATCTACGATCTTTCTGAAAAATGTTGGTAAATTTTTAATAATCTTTTTATTTTACTTTAGAAATGATGGATATTTTCACTGCACCTAATCATCTTCTAAAAATGGTATTAAGTGATAATTAAAACAGTAGAAAATGCTTTATTTAACAAATATTGACAAGACTGCAGATTGCACTCATTGGATTATGTATAAATATAATAATAATCCAGCATAAGAGCAAGTTTGTTGTATGGGTTCCGTTGTTTTAGCACAGAACCCTAAAAATGAAGTTTTATGTTGGTTTATTATGAGTAAATACTAAAAATGGCTGACTTTGGAAGGACCATGTCAGAAAAATTACAAATTGGATAACGAAAGACTACATACACAAACCCTCTGTGACACACAGAAACTCGCGTGTGTTATGTGTACCTGGGTGTGACAGAGACAGGGTATAAGTTGGATGTCTGTGAAAATGTATACACATGAGATGAAATTCGATCTTTAGCTGGTAACAGGTGGCACACAGGCCTGTTGGTCTTTACGATTCAGGGCACATTATACTTGAACCTTTTATAAAATCCCTTGTTTCTTGGTCCTTTTACCAATTCCTTCGCTCAATGGGTACGGCTTTTACAATAAGCAGAAGAGATTGTAGCAGGTAGCTCACAACTTTTAGGAGATTGTACAAGATAAACAAGTCGAAACAGCAGCGATACTACTGATAAAAAAGTACTTATATAGTACAACAATAACTGTAAAAGCTTACAGTGAGACAGTTAGAGATGTGCAAAATGATTTTTTAAAAGTATTTAAATACAAAATATAAATACGTTTTTCATTTGTTATTTTAAATGTAAAATACAAAATTGATTTCCCTTTTATATTTTAAATGTTANAAATGCAAAATACGTATTTTCAAAATAATTTTTTGTAGTACTTATTTAATTTTCTACATTCACTTAATTATTTTTTTAAGAAAACTGCAGGCATTTGCTCATTTTTTAAATATTGGAGTTTTTCTAGGCTAATAGTGGTGTTTACACTGTATCAAATACTGTGAAGATTCAGTATGATTCATATCTTTCTGTTTAAAGTCTGTCTAATTATGATATAGTTTTTCTATCTTTATGCTACAGTATCTTCAGTTCAGCAGCAAATAATTCTTTTATATGCTTACTTATTTGCCTATGTTACCGGTTTAATTGGAAAAAAGACACTGATGCTAAAATAGTTTGCTCAGCGTGAAAGATTAGAGCCAAAATAGCGTTGCAAATAATTTTACTGATGTAAAATCGCCATTAATTATTTTATATCAAAGTATTTACAACCCAATTTTGTTTCTGATCTTTTACACATTGTAATAAGAGAAAGAAATGGAATCCATAGTTTCTTTAGCTTTGGGCTCATCCAATAAATGAAGTTTTTCGAATCGTTTTCTAAGAATTTTGGATTATATGCATTTATTAGCACATCACAATATCTTGTAGTTTTCAGTTTTCCACAGCTGGCGTATAATCAATTCGATATTGTCTTGCGGACTGCTTTGTCGTAATTCATAGAATTTCATAGTTCCTTACTAAAGGTACGATAAGTGATGATTTGGCAGGTGCTGATATCAATTTGGAACTTCAAAATTCGATGGACCATGACATTGATCCCGGAAAACAATATCGATCCAATATTTTGGATTATTATCCATTTGCAAGGTGTTTAGAATTTTTTGGGCTCTCTTCAGTTAAATTTTTAAGCTTCCATTACCTTCAATGGTCAACTTTCATTCATCATTTTATGTAATGTTTGATCGGTGAAACTAGCCGAAAAAATGTATTTTGCATTTTACAAACAGAAAATACGTTTGGAAAAGTATTTTAAAATAAAATACAAAAGGCTTTTGTATAATATTTAATATATCAACAAATATTGCTATTATACTATTACGTGTCGTTTTGTTATTTCTAAAATGTTATTGAAATCTCTCTGTTATTGTTTATGGGGACAACTTTTCAATTTTTCTTGCAGAACTATCAAAGTTCTGCTATAGGAAGATAGAATATTTCCTGAAGACGATCAACAAATTAAATTCCAACAACCCTTCCGTAGACCAGTGCGTATAAACATGTACTTTAAAATCAGAAAGTAAAAAGTGAACTGTCGCGATGAAAACCATTAGATTACCTATAGCTAAAGGTAGAAACGAACATTCGAATCTGGAAGCTTGAGCTCATTGCAATTCCAATTCGGTTCTGTCTAGCGGCCGAGGTGTTTATGTCTTCAAGATATGCCGTCAGATAGGTAGCAACCAACATTTATAAATATTAACAACTTGTGGCCAGTTTTCTAAACTATACACTTATATGTACAACACATACGTACTTGTGGTACATGTTCACACAAATACACGTACACAAATATAAATCAGATGGCGTTTTTACCGCGACTCTGCCTATATCCACAATCGTGAAAGGAACGCGAATGTGAAAGATTAACTCTATTTATCTACACATGGGTCTTTTTCGTATACAAACTTTAGCAAATGTCACATTAGTAACTCTATGTTCGACATTCGAAAGGTACCTAAGACATTATTTCTTAATGTACCCTTCCCGTCTGTGGATAGTTTTAGAGAAATGCGAAGATTAACTCAGGATAGAAAAAAGTTGAAGTGCCATGCCCTATATGATGATGATGACTCTATATGATGATGATGACCCTAGCAAGAAAGTTCTTTACAAATTAATCAAAGATTCTACTTTTCATTTTAAAGCGCCATTTCCGACCAAATTCGTCTGCAGTGAGTCTCTTCTGTCATTTCCAATATCTAATATGCTGTGGGTAGAATTTGATTGATCTATTTCGAAAAAGTACCCTCAATCAATTTTTTTCTGCTACCAATCAGTAAACGACTGCAGAACCGTTTCTTTAGTTTGCCATTAATTGTTGAAGGGTTATATAAGTAAAAAGAAGCAGGGACGTACTTGAGACGCAAGTTACTGTTTGTAGACACCGGGATGTAAACATAACGTACATAAAAAATGAATGAGTTGTGATGCTGAAATAAAATGAATAACCAGCAATGTGCACAGAGGTTACATTTGAAGCACATATGTGTAATATTTTATGGATGGCACATTAAGGACGAGTTCCAGTGATAAAAAAAAACAATAATTATTGTCCCAACCATGGTTGCTCCATAAAAATCGAGTACGAGTGATTTCGGAACGAAATATATTTCTGTTCAACAATGAACGATTACCATCGGAACCAGTCGAAAGAAGTAATTTCCTATATAGCTCAAGGAAAGAGAAAAATCCGAAAACCGTAAATCTGTAGTTATACGTCACAAAAAAAAATAATTTTTGGTAAATGTCTAGATGATGGCCCCCACCCCCGAAGGACGTGGGGGTGGGTGGGATCGAAAGAGAAAGTCTCGCCCACCACTGTGCCAACCGCATAAAACATTTTCGGCGGTCTCACCCCCATAAAAAGTTATAGGTGTTGAAAGTTGATTATTTTGACAATTTTCATATACTATNATTTTCATTCTCGTCTTTTACGCTAATTTTACTTTGACGAACCCCCTCTGTCTTTACAAAGGAACAATTAATGCATTACTCGGTCGGCGGTAGATGATAAAATTATTCCTGATTCTGGTTGCATGTTCGTAGGTACAAGTTTTGTAATTACATAACCGTCTCGGACAGATTCGATTTCTATCATTTTAGCATCAGAAGTCCTTACTTAATTAGGCCATAGTTGGTAAATGTCTAGATGATGGCCCCCACACCGTAGGGGGGATCGAAAGAGGGTGGTCACCTGAGTACAACCCCATAAAAAATTTGCGGCGGTGTCACCCCCATAAAAAGTTATGGGGGTTGAAAGTTGATTATTTTGACAATTTCCATACACTATAATTCAAATAAAATTCAATAAAAAAAATATTTTCGAGCGGGCGGAGGTGGGAGATCGAAAGAGGGTGGTCACTTGAACAAAACCCGATAACCTGACCTAACCTAACCTAACCTAAATTGATAAAGATATTTAAATAATGTTTTATATAACTTTCACAATATTTTTATGTATTTTTCATTAGTTTTACCTTTGAATATTGTTTAAGAATGACTATATAAATATTTACATGCCTAGAAATGTATAAAAATTGGCATATTTATTAACTTTGAACCCTTATAACTTTTTATAGGGGTGAGACCGCCACGAACTTTTTATGGTACAGTGGTGAGGGAGACCTCCTCCTTCGATCCCCACCATCCCCATCATCTAGACCTTTACCTAATTTTTTAGTTGGAAACTGACTAGGCGGATATTTAAAACAAACTCGGAAAAACTGATGTTGTTCGTGAGTTGGAGTTACTTCCTAAAGTTTCACTAATCCAGATCTAGCAACGGAGATGGAAAGACCTCTGAAGAAGTCGCCACTCGAGCTAGCGAAACGGTAGGAACCAACTTCAACATACGACCTTTAGACCCAATCAGAATAGCATTAGTTCACCTTACTGGTCACAAAAGCTTTACCAATTTGTCAATGTCTAAAAAAGCAGGAAAAATCTTCGAGACTCGATTCCGGTGACGGATAAGACATTTATGTTGGTATCTACAAGTTTGTAGGTCTGTTTTTTAACATTTCAAAAAAATTTACAATAAATTGATTCGTTTGAGATAATGATTGAAGTTTGTCGAAAAAAACATTCAAATGAAACTCCGTAGCTGTTTTATATTTGTGCCTTATAACATTAACCAGTCATAAGTATGTGTTGTTGAAACATTGATGAAAGGCTTCTTGCCATTATTTGCTACTGCGTGTAATGTTTGCAAATACAGTAGCATAATGAACCACCACCTACCAATTCGCCATTAAATGTTCCAATGTGTATGCCTGTCTATATGGATGTTTTAAAATCAATGCTCGTGGACATAA